AGGTTTTGCATTTTTCGGCTAAGCAGGTGGATGAGGTAATAAGGAAAATGACGAGAGGAAAATCTCCAGGTCACGACGCTCTCAGCATCGAGCACCTGAAATGTGCGGGAGTGCATCTTCCCAGAGTGTTGGCTACGTTCTTCTCTCTATGTATTAGGCATTTTCATTTGCCGCCTGAAATGCTTAAAATTATAGTGGTGCCAGTAGTTAAAAATAAAACGGGGGATATTGCCAGTCATGAAAATTACCGTCCGATATCGCTGGCCACAGTTGTTGCTAAGATGTTGGACAGTCTTCTGGACAAATATTTGAACCTGCACGACACTCAGTTCGGCATTAGGCCAGGGCTTTCCACAGAAAGCGCCATATTACGTCTTAAGCAGACTGTCCGATACTACACGGAGTGACGCACGCCTGTATGCCTGTTTCTTCATCTCTCTAAAACTTTTGACATGGTGGTTTATAACATTATCTGGGATAAGCTCGAGAAGACAGGCGTACACACGGACCTGATAAGTGTGCTAAAGTGCTGGTACACCAACCGGCAAAATAATGTAAGATGGGGAGGGCCTTTCTCGGATGCGTACAGGTTGGAGTGTGGGGTGAGACAGGGGGTTTGACCTCGCCGAAGCTCTTCAACCTGTACTTAAACGAGCTGATCGTTGGACTCAGCAGTAAGTCTGTCGGATGTCGTATCGACGGCATCAGCGTAAAAACATCAGTTATGCCGACGATATGGTGCTGCTGGGTTCAACGGCGGGCTCAATTGCGGAGCTCGTTCGATTTTGTGAGTAGTATACAAGTAATCACGGCCTTGTATACAATTGTGTCAAGAGTGGGTCTTTGGGATCCCCGGTAGAGTGATGTCTTATGAACCTAAAATTAATCTAAATGAGGTGGCGCTAAAGAGGGTAAGCAGATTTACATATCTAGGACATTACTTGGCGGAGGATCTTAGAGACCAAACTGACATTGATCGTGAACGTAGGGTGTTGGTTGCCAGATTTAAAATATTGGCACATAGATTCGCCCGTTGTAGTGAGGAAGCAAAAATAACTTTATTCAAGGCGCATCGTCGATGTTTGCACAAGCGGGAGTTGACGACTTTTTTGCTGTGATGCGAAAAAAGACGGCGTCACTACTCTCTACACTGCGTTCTAGTCCTAACAGCATCCTCAAAACGTTTGCGGCTCAGCTCGATGCGCCGATGCTTCGTCATTTCGTCCAGGTTCTGGTGAGGTGATGGGGTAATCGGCGGTGCCTCGAGCGTAATAATGTGGGTTTTTATGTTTTATGTTTTGTGTCTGTGTTTACTAACAATAGTCATAAGTTTAAAAAGTCTGTATTTTACTAACAAGTGGGCCTTGGATGCCAAATAAATGATTTATTTATTATTTATTATTACTTTTAAAGAAGGATAGCGAAAGTTGCCCCAATAACGACAAGCCCTTCATGGACTTTGCTAGTATAATTTTGCGTTTTGGTTTATACCTAGTTATCAATATATTTTTGTATATTTTTAGAAGTCGGGAATAAAGACATTATAAAGACATTTGTATTTTAGAATAGATGCAAAAACACAACGCAATTGATTCAGTTCGACTATAAATTATGTAACGTTCTTGTAAGTACGTTTCATTTTAAGCATGATTGAATGTTTACCTACCTGAAGTATTGGTTATTTTATGGTACACACATAAAACATTAAAGCTATAAAATACATAATGAAATAATCAATTAGACAGTAATGACATAAAGCAAAAAATAAAACACAATGTGACAAAAATATTAAGACAATATTTCAATGAGAGATAATGAAAGTTGAGAAGGAACGTTTTGACAAAAGACATCTTGCCAATGTCAATGTCACATTGATATTAAGAACAGTGTGACCACTTGTGGCAGAGTTCTGCCATTTGGGCAGATTTAATTTTTATTCATTTTCATTGCTGCAGATCATGATAAGTTATATTAAATGTGGCAGAGTTTTGCAGATTTGTGACTATTCGGTAAGTACTATATTATTTTTGGGAACAAACCGAAAACTTGTTGTTATCTGCTACTACGAACAAACATCTGAAGCGAAATACAGGACAATGTTATAAATATAACCTATATCAACTTTATAACCCCAGCTTCTACAGGTTGTACTCAATTAACTTTTTTGATGCTTTGATAATGAATCACAAGTATTGATAGGTCTCCTTAATGCACGTCGTTAAAAACACTGGGTCACAAAATACACGGGACGTCGCCATCCTTCTTTGCAAATATTGTCATACTAAAGATAAGAAATGAGAAAGAATCACGTTCGTTTGAAGTACCGCCCACTGCAAGAATTTATAAAAAAATTACTCGATGGAAACACGGTATACTGAAAATAATCTAGGATGATCCATGTACGGACAACGGCACATCAGACTACACATTTTTGTTCGAAAATCGCCTCCAGTGCAACGGAACAAGATACGTCAATGTGTAGCTTGATGTGCTGGCGTGTGTACATAAAAAATTCCACAAAATACGACCTTGTAACAACGTGCACTAATTCATAAAGTTCGATATTAAGTAACGTGTGAAATTTGTCAAAATTGTTTGCCATTGACATTTCATAAAATTTCATCTCGACTGATATTAGAATTGAGGTCGAATCAAATTGTTTTGTTTTTCAGAGATGTTCGAAATTTGAATGTAAGAATAAAATCGAATCTGTTTATGTTGGTCGTAGTTTGCGGTTTTTGAACATATCATAGAGGGTTTATGATGTGTGTAGATAAACTAATTTAATAAGCCACGCTTAAAATGAATACTTAGCTTTTGTTTAACTAAATATTTTAAATAAGTAAAAAGAATACCAAATCAATGTTTATTTGTAAGAAATGAGCAGAAAAGGTTACTCATTACAATGTATTTGCTAGAGATGAGGTATATAGATAAAAATTTGTCGATAATTTTACCGAATAAATGTATAGTGTGTGCATTCATTTTTTAAGTATGGATTTTTAATCAAGGGCAATGAATTGACGTGTCAGTGTTACTACTTTTTTAACCCTCTAATTAATAAGTAAATTAATGTTATGACGCTTTTAGAAATCGACTAAAACATCGATTAAAATTGCATCTGAATAATATAGTAGTGTTTTAACATTCAATATGATACAAAACGTTTCACACACCTATATATCGTTCAGAATAATAATAAAAAAACAATAAACCTTTGGTTAAAGAATCAAATAAACTAAAAATCATCTTCTTACCTCATCTCAAAAGAGAAAGTGAAAACATAATGTATACTAGAACTACAATGGAAAATATTTATTGAAAATCCCGGTAATTAAACGAAGACATGGTTCAAAGGACTTGTATCCAAGCCGAAACATCAACATCAGGAGCATCCTAGCTCGTGTTTAGCAGTTTTTTTTATAATATCATGTGACGGGACGAACAAGTCGTGTGCCTGATGGTAAGCTGCACGCCTGTCCATAACAGTTGCAGTGCCACTCAGAGCTTTAAATCGCAAAGATCCAAGGGACACTGCCACTGCGCCCGTCACCCTGAGACATAAGTTGACAAGTCCCATGTGCCTGTAATTTCAATAACACCCTTACCCTTCAAAACCGGAACACAGTAATGCTGACATTACTGCTTGGCGGCAGAAATAGGTAAGGTGGCAGTAGTTCCTTGGACAAACTCTTTCACAAGGAGCTCTACTGCTACTAAAGTCATTAATATAGAACCAACTATACACATTACCTGTGGTACTATATTATAATCAACTGTAATATTTACAAACGCTGTAAAAAATATATAGTCGGCCATGTTTCAAATAGAGACGACCTGATTTTATAACCATCTTTTTTCAATCTCCACAGATTATACTAAACTTCACTCTACAGTGTTGCCAGGACGTAAAAATGATGATGATTAATATTTGAACTGATAGCCTCAAATACAGTCACGAAATCATCGAGACCGAGATGAAAACCCTAGCTGATATAAATGTTGGTACAATGCGAATAGATTTATTTACAAAGTTGCGCAACTATCCCCTCATCCTCTCCTGTCTAAACTCCACAAACTATCTGATCTGACTAGGACTTCTAAGTACTGGCAAGTCGAAGATATTCCTTGCATTCTTAAAAGTTATAAGAAATTTATTAGTATTTATTCTCCTATCTTCCAAACTGATAAAACTCCCCTTTTTTCCCTATGACGCAGTAATATATACCTAAAATAATCTTGGATTTTGGTATTTACAAAGATTCTCCTGCGGCAGACAGGCAGTTTAATATAGCCCTAACTAAAGACTGGCAAGCCTGGTTGACTATTTACACAGACGCTTCTAAGCCGGCTGCTGATGGTTGTGTGGGTGCGGCTGTATGGATCCCTAAGTTCGGAATAATTTTGATTTTGTAAATGTCCACCTCAAGAATCAATATTCATAGGGGAATCTACAGCCCTGGTCGAAGTCCTCAGCTATATTGAATCTCACAAATTGAACAAAAGCCTAATTTTTTCAGACTCGAAAAGCTGTTTGCAGGCTATTTTGTCAAACCATTTTCGCCGACATCCAAAAAAAGTATCCCCAAAAAGCCTTGGTTCTTTATCCATAAAGGATTCACTAAGACTGTTACGTCTACAGTACGCCGACTTCGAATTGGTCATGCCTGCACCCCGGTCCATCTGGCAAAACTTAGAATACGGGATAGAACAATTTGTGAATGCGGCCTGGATGAAGGCATCCCAGACCACATATTTTTCAGCTGCCCTACCAGAACGTGTTCTATTTATGAAAGTCTTCCACCTTCTATCCCTCGCCCCGTAAATTTCAAGTTTCTGTTATATGTTTTTACAAATACCCTGTTAGAATTAATAACTGATTTTATTAATACTAACAAACTTAAATTATAAAACTTATTTATTTAAATATTTGTAATGGTGATGTTATATCGTGTTGTTCTGTATTGTTCCAGAAGTCGTAATAGACTAAAGAGCAGTGTTCATTAATTAAACATCTAAAAAACGAAAGTCCCATGACTGACATGACATTGGCAAAATTCTACAAGAGAAGCCAGAAACTTAAAAATAGAATAATTTGGTACAACATACTTTGCAGTTTCCTCATCGAGATCTCCCTTTTCAGCGGCCTCTCTCAGCAACGGGGTGGCCATGTACGCACCAAGACCCGTTGCGATAGTGGCGTCTTCATAAGCTGTGCCTAGCTTGTCCACTGCCCCAAGGAATGGCTCTCCATCCTGGTAAACAAGTCATCACCAATATTTTCAATCAAAAATGTTGGATGGATCAATAATAATATTCTTTATTGTACAAAGAAAAGACACATGAAACACACGTTACAATGGACATATACAAAGGTGAGCTTATCTCTATAAGAGATCTCTTCCAGCCAACCCTAGCCGTGGTGCAAAAATGAAGTCTGCGGGACTAATTAATGTACAACAAAATTTAAATTTAAATGTGAATAAAATATAAATGATAATAATATACATACGACAGACATATGCACATACACGAACTTTATATACATAAATACATACATAAACAGAATATATAATATAATAACAGATCATTTGTTTACAAATATGTTACCTATAAACTATCTAACGCGTTCGACAGGAAGTGCTCTTTTAATTTGTGTTTGAAAGATGTGTTTTCAATGTGTGTCATATAATATTAAGTTTACTGAATATCACGATATTTTACAACCATGATATTATTTCTCAATTTTTTTGCAGTACCAAATGACGAGACGTACAAGTCGTGCGCCTGGTAATAAGCGACACGCCTATCCATAACAGTTGCAGTGCCGCCTAAAGTTTTTAATCGCAAAGATCTTAGGGACACTGCCACTGTGCCCGTCCGTCATTCCGAGACATAAGTTGAAAAGTCCCATGTGTCTGTAATTTCACCAGCACCTTTACCCTTCGAAACCGGAACGCAATAATGCTCACATTGCTGCTTGGCGGCAGAAATAAGTAAGGAGGAAGTACTTCCCTGGATGAACTCTTTTGCAAGAAGCTCTAGAACTACTTTTGTGAAGTTACTTTTTTATAATTATTAATACAAACATAAATTATATAAAAAATTCTGTTGTATCTGACACTCTGCCAACTGATCTACAGTACGCCACAGTTAAAATACAGTACAAACCTGAACACCAGCAACAATATAGTTGTTCCACAAAGGGTCCATCTTGCTACGCTTGTTGTACAGCACTCTGGTAAGCCAACAGTGGAGGGAACGTGGCTTTAGCTTCAAACCGTCACCAATACATTGCTCATCAATGCTGAAATACAAGGAAAAAATAATAAGATATAATAGCAATTTGAGAATGTCAAACACTCTGGATCTGAGTAATGACTTGAGGAAGAGTTATAAGACTTTTTCTTCCAATCCGCATTAAAACTATACTGCCCTCGTGACGACAAAAGGCACAACTGTGCGTACTTTATGCAATGGTCAAGTTTTTCAAGGCTATTTGGAAAAAAGCCACAATCTGTGGATTTGGATATATGTATGTAGCGAAAATTAAGAAGAACAATTATATAAATTAAATTAGGAAAGGAGCAAACCAACTACTCGCCGCATGGCAATGTGTACACTGGCAAGTAGCAGTAGACAGTTTTAAGTACAGATCTTCTCTTAACTTTCTCTACAATTTTAGGGTCGTATTCTAGATCTCTACTCAATGCTCAAGTCAAGATTGCACTGGAAATACAAGCACTGGAAATACGACCCTAATGGCAGGGACTTGAGTATGATTTCTGACCCGCTGTTGACGCTCATATGCCCGTCTGGTGATAAGTTAGTTAACGCGGACCCCGCCCACTAACCAGTCTATTACTAGTATTTATGTGGTCTCTGGGTGTCAATATCTTGCAATGGCCTTGTAATATCAATGCCCGTGGATTATACTACTCTATTGTGATGCCTCATAGCGATAGGCAAGACAAGATGGGTATTTAGGGAATTACAGGAAGAGCGAGATGGAAACCACAGAGTCCATAGCGTAAATGGTTTATTTACGTCCACCCACTATATGTGGGTGGACTTAAATAATTTATACAATAATTTATTCTGAACACTCACATATGAATACAGAGTTTTAGCCCTCTTCGCCAACGGGTCACCCAACACAACATTAGCTCCCCAAACTTCCAAATATTTGATTGAAATTGGCTTCTTATAGGCACATAATGACCACATTATATCAAATGTAGCACATCTTGAACTTTGTTGCAAAATTTACAGTGTGGAGAATCCGCTCTTTTTAATAGATTTTTTTTTTTTTTTTTTTTTTTATTTATTTACTTATAATACAATATTTGGTATGGCACTCTTAAACCTAATAGGTTTGTTTGAGTGTTGCAACTGTTCATAACATTTATACACACAATCTTTTATGATCACACAGACAATATTTTGTTTAAACAAGGAATACTTAATAGAAATAAACGTACACATAAGACAGATAATCGTCACAAACAATGACAAAAGAAAGAACAATAACGTTAAGAAGATAATACGAGTGACAAACAAAATAAAGTAATAAAAACTAAAACACAGTATTAATACAAATTGAAATATCGTGCTCTCTGCAAGCTACGGTCCGGTGGCGCAGCGAAACCGGTTTGGTTGCGATACTAAACACATGTATACAGGCTGTTCTTACAGTCTCACTGCCGCCGGTTCTCTTCTGAGTATTGTTTTGATTTTATTAGTTTATTCCTTGCAATTTATAAGTATAGATTATTTATATATATTATTTATGTTTATATATATACACATAGAATGTATTTAAGGGAAGGTGGCTTAAATAAATAGAACTTACATCTTCTGTTCAATAATGTCCTTCAAATACTGGAAATCTGCATAGTCTCCACCAGAACCCAGCAATATATTGTCATTAACCTTCATTACACGAGGGCAATCACGGAACCTGGCCAGAGTACCGTAAGAACCAAGGGTATCTCCTGCAATTACACATCCTCGGTCGAATTTGAGGCCAATCACTGTTGTTGTTGTTGTAATAGGAGATGCAGAGCTAAAAATACAAAATAATAATAATATATATTCATTAATTATAGAAAAAGTGAGCAAAGGTATGCCAGAATAATGCAGGAGACATCATATCACCCATAAACACCATTATAAATAAAGCTTTTAAGTTATTTTAATTCTAAAGGCACTCCAGCCTTTATAAGAACATTCTCTATTTGATTTAAAATGTTTTTGTAGCCGTCCTCTTCTAATTTTACCCCCTATGTCAGCTGAACATTGACAAAGACAAAGAGTAATAGGTCATCTGCAAAATAAAGATTTTACAGTAGAGTGTTAATATGAAAACTTGGGGGGATTGTGTATATTATATTCTGACTATCCTCCAGATATTAGCTTTACATATTGCCTCATTGCTCAAAATTCTAGATTATTCAGTCTGTTACATTAGAAAAGATCAAATGTTTATGTAAAAAAAAATTGTTACATTGCAGACAACCGATTGACCTTTGCTGTCGTCATATTACTTTCGTAAATCAATATTCATTCATCCGCTATTAATTACATTAGTACAATACAAAATAACGCGATAAAAATGGAAGTCTAAAATATAAGAATGAGATGGAACTTTATTTCGCTTTATAACCAATTAATAAACACAGACACACAAATTTTGTTTTCTAGGATATCTAAAGCAGTGTATAAGCATTTATAATAAACTTACTGGGCTTTAAATTGTTGAACTGCGTGATGATTTATACCAATATTCGTAGCGTTACCGGGAAAGTTGTAAAACGCGCCTGGAGCTGGCCCATTATGCCAGAGTGGTGCAGGAGACATCATATCACCCATAAACGCCATTATAAATAAAGCTTTTAATGTTTTAAATGTAAAATTTTGTCACTCTCATCGACTAAAAACGATTTTCACGGAATGACAAACGGCAAACGAAAATGACAAACATATTTTTCGAACGTTCCATCCAACGCATAGCTTGTACGGGAAATTGAGTCATAAAGTTTATTTGTATTTTTTATTTGTATTATTATTATATGAATAAAAATTATAGAATGTTCAATCAATTTTTAATGTAAATGATATTCATTTTACATAAGGACGTTGTAGAAAATAGCTTCTGCTCATTGTTTCTTTTACTTTGACTGCGCAAAAGGGAGTGTAAATGCATAAGTGCTTCCGCGATGCCGAAAAAGAAAAGATCGAAACAATCGCAATGTTAACACAATTTAGACAAATCTAAATTTTAGCATTTTCATATGGATTTCTGGCATTTAAATAAATAAATATTTTTATTGCCTCGAGATCTATGCTGGTTTTATAGGCTTTTAATGAGACTTTCGAATTCTTGTAAAAGATCGTATAGCCGAGTTAATCGACTTAAATCGATTAAATTTAGTGTAGGAATCTCTACTTAACATTTCGTTCTTTCAATTTCCTCTCAAAAAGTGACACAAGAAAATGTCTAAAAGAGGTTTGTGAAATTATAAAATATCCGTTTTAATCCTGAATTAAAGTGAACTAATATTTCATCAACGATTAATACATCATTAATTGTATTAAATGTAATGTGAAATTGTGTATATTTGTTAAATCCCGCGGTTTTTGTTAAGTCATTGAAGTGTTGTGATGAAGATGGTTAAAGTGTGTTTTTTCTGTTTTAAGGACGTGGTGGTTCCGCGGGAGCGAAGTTTCGCATCTCACTGGGTCTCCCTGTGGGAGCTGTAATCAATTGTGCCGACAATACAGGTGGGAAAACATAATTAAGTAAACTAACCTAACCTAAAAAATGCACATTTTGTTTGACTACCACCTATGATGATATTTTATGGAACACTAAATAGTGTTTTTGAATTATAATGATATCTTCCTTGGCTGTGTCTGAGGTAGTTTAGTCAACAAAACAAGATGCACCCCTATTATTTTCGTTATTTATTCCCGTCGTTAATCTACGAACTAAGTGAGAAGCTTCAGAACGAAAACCGATAAATTCAATAATTTTCGATTCTAATGCCGTCTAATCAAAATCTAATGTCGTCAGTCGCCGGTCTCATTGAATGGATTCAATAAATTTCGACTAATGTCGTCGTCGTCTGTCGTCAGTCTCATGAATGGATTTGTCGCATTGTGTTCAGATCGGTGCATTTGAAACGTTTAAAAACTACTATTTGGCATTCAAAAAAAGGACAAGTCAGGAACAAGGCGACTTATCGGTTTTGTTCTGATGCTTCTCCAATTTCGATACTGCTCTTCTTCTATGTGCATTTCTGTACTGCACTTGTTAGTAACTTCGTTTTCTGCCGTCCTTTAACTTAAGGCTCAGTGACAAATAGTCAAATAACCGTTTTAAATAGCAAAAAATAGAGCACAAAATTCTCTTATAAAAACAGTTAAAATTACTTGACTTGTTCGACTTATCAGAACTTACCCTACGTGGTATAACGGGCTAGTTTTCGCAACTCGAGGTCGAGGCGCCTATTTTGTGTGTGGTCAGGTGGTGCTTATCGTATAAGACCATGACCCGTTAGAGCAGCAGATAGAGTGTGCAGCTCTTGTCTTTTAAGTTTGATTAATTTACGAGATAGACTGGCATTGAGCGTTGGGAGTGGTTCCCTAGCCTGCTTGTTCTATGTCATCAACATAGCATATTGTATAGAAATGTTCTTTGTGTAGATTGGTGATGAGATCATTTACGACCATGTTCCATAGCAGAGGCAAGAGTACTCCCCGTGAGGGCACCCCTTCGCTACTACGGCCCATGGGGTCTCTTTTGCTGTTATTCTTATTGTTCTTTGTTTGAGCATGTTGCTAACCCAGCTGATAGGAATATGCATGATAGGGAACTTACCATGACACATAGCTGAAATACCATTAAACAATTTCAATATTCTGAAAACTGGGTTATGGTTTTGTATGACATCTCAAAAACATATTTTCTCTCTTAGCCGTTTTAGTTAGTGGACGGTTGTTTTACTGTGTATGCTATTTTATATTATTGTGTTGCTGCTCTAAAACTGCAAAAATCTATAAATAGTAAATTGTTTAGTGAATGAAGACTATAATCTTAATCCCAGTGAATACTGATAAATCGTGATTACTTGGTACTTGGTGTAACGGGCTGGTGTCCGCAACTCGACGTCAAGGCGCCTATTTTGCGTGAATAAAATTAAATCGTGGTTAATTTTACATTTTAGGAGCAAAGAACCTGTATGTGATTGCGGTACAAGGTATCAAGGGTCGTCTCAACAGACTGCCTGCAGCCGGATCTGGGGACATGATCGTCGCCACTGTAAAGAAGGGCAAGCCTGAACTCAGGAAAAAGGTGAGCCTAGTTTAAAGTATATTTTCATAGCAAATAGACTTTGCTATGAAAATGTACTTAAAATTAAGTCTTACAAAAAAAAAACCAAAAACCTTATGCATAAAGGAGGAAAGAATTTCGTAAAAGCCTGATTGACTCATTGTTAATATTCATTTTATTTCAAATGTACACAAAAAATGGAATCACTTGAATGGTAACATTACAGTTCATTTCACATGGCATGTGTACAGTGACATTTGAGATTTGGAGTTTCTAGAATACGACCCTAAGGGTCGTTTTCTAGAACTCTACTCAATGCTCAAGTCAGGATTTGAGTATGGTTTAAAGCACTCGAAATCATACTCAAGTCCCTGCCATTAGGGTCGTATTTCCAGTGCTTGTGTTGCCAGTGCAATCCTGACTTGAGCATTGAATAGAGTACTAGAATACGACCCTTAGGGTCGTAGTAGAACTCTACCCTTAGACTTAAACTATTATGTTGGTCTACAAATTTGTAAAACAGATTTTTGTAAGACAGACAGAGAGCTGTTAATTGAAAAATTAAATATGTCGGGTGCTTAGTCCTGCTCTACTACAGTAGATTATAACGTCGTTCTGACGAGTTGTGATGATGGTGAGACGGTTAACTTTCCGTATTTGTTGTATCTGGTCTCAGTACCTCGTCCAGATATTTTATTTGGAATTAACTTACTCTGCCGTTACGTTAACAACCCGCGCCGTGAGCATGTAAATGCTGCCAAACGTATTATAAGGTATTTAATTGCTACAAAACATGTGGGTATAGAGTATAAAGGAAAGTCACAGTTAGTTGATTATTCTGATTCCGATTATGCCAGTGATACTGAGTCTAGAAAATCAACTACTGGGTATATTTTCGTAATGAACAACGGCTCACAATAACCTGGGCAAGTCGCAAGGAGCTAACTGTTGCTTTGTCGACTATGGAGGCTGAATTCATGGCGGCTTGTGAAGCCACAAAAGAGATGTTGTGGTTGAAATAATTTCTGTTAGATTTGGGGGAGTCCCCAACCTGTATGAATTTGTGCATAGATAACCAAGCTGCTATAAATATAAAATTGATATGTAATCCAGTATTCCACCAAAGATTTAAGCATATAGATGTAAAATATAAGTTTATAACGGACAGGGTAGAGCAAGGTATTATAACTGTTAAGTATGCAGCGAGTGCTAACCAATTAGCTGATTTCCTGATTAAACCTCTTCCTTTGCCAAGATTCAATCTGAATCGAAACCAAATTATATGTTGAATTGTTCTAATGTATGATTCTCGAGTTAAAGTTTTGTTAAGAAGTATGTTTGTTTGTTTATACTTGTTTTTGTTTAAGCTAAGGTGCTTGTGTTTTGTTATAATGTTAATATGTGTGAGTTAATGTAAAATATTCTTGTCCTAGAACCGATTGTCAAAGAACCAGTTTGCGAGTTAAATAAATTACGTTTATTTAAGAGAATTCTTGCATTATTTATTAATATTGCTGCTGATAATCGAACAAAACGGTAGGACGTAAAATTGGAAAATATGTTACTGTAACCATCGTATGTGAAATGGACTTCATTTTTTTTTTTTTTTCATTTTAGTTGTAATAATAATTTGTGTAAAACTACATTCTCCGAATTTAAAACGACAAGAAAACAAAAATTTAAAAGAATACATTCTTTTTAACCAACTTCAAAAAAGGAGGAGGTTCTCAATTCGACTGTATGTTCTTTTTTTTTTGTTTTTTGTATGTATGTTACGCGATAACTCCGGTATTTGTGAACCGATTTTCATGATTCTTCTTTTGTTGGAAAGGGGGTATTTCCATAGTGGTCCCATTTCATTTTGAAGAAAATCATCCACCTCAAAGGGTGGCTGTTCACGCATGAAGATTCATTTTTATAAATAGCGCCTAACTTTAATTTAGGAGCAATTACTTTTAGCAATTATTTAGTTGATTTTGCTATTTCTCCACATACTTTTGAGGTCGGTTTTTTTTATAGAAGAATATAAAGGATTTTTCGAACTAAATAGCAAAAAGTTTATAGGTAAAGAAACAACAATGTAATGGGTCACAAAATGATTAAAAGCTAAAACTCGAGCAATACAAGCAATTGCGTTTTGTAGAAATTAATTTTTGAGTTAAAAACATCCAGATGAGCCTTACCTTGCTCATTAAAAGCTCGTCACGTTTTTACTATAGGGTTATAGAAAGGGGTATTATTGTAACAGATTTGGCAGATTTTGATGGTCGCAATGATGAGGGGCTACATATGCCTCGAAAGATGCTACCCTAATAATAATAACAGATTTGGCAAATTTATTACTTTCTAGTATTTCTAATTCCAACGGAATATACACTCGATAAGACCCAAAATTGTCGCTTATCCAATTTTGCCTTTCAAGCTTTTTTAGTATAACCCTACTCTCATTTTTATCTGGTCTTTATAACTTAATTGTGTCCCATTAAATAAGTTGGAATCGCCGTGATGATATGCCAACGGTTTCGCTTATTACAACTTCTGAACTGTATACAGTTTGATGATATTCCTTGGCTGACTGAGCGATTCTTTCATCTTACTCAGTACGTACTTCAGAATTACATAGGAAGAGACATATAGGTAGATAGCAGCTGAAAAAGAAGCATGCTTCTAAATTGATTCCACAAGAAATCGACTTTAGGATATTCATAGGAAAGAACCATAGTGCTAACCATGATGCCCCTAAAATCATCCAATATTATTGTTAATTGGATTGTGTGCTGTACAACAGTGCCACGTGCAAACCAGTGTTGGGCAAAATTTAATTGTTCTGGCAATTAAAGATTGACAATTGATTAATTGTTAATTGCGAAACAGCAATTAACGATTGATCAATTGTTAGTTGCGAGAACCGCAATTAACAATTAATCAATTGTTAATTGCGGTTCTCGCAACTAACAATTGATCAATCGTTAATCGGAAATATCTACAATTAACAATTAATCAATTTTCAATCTTTTCAATGTTTTTGATTAACAATTAACAATTTAAACTGACAATTATGATAAATTTATAGGGAAAAATATATAATTATGATAAATATAACTCACCCCCATATATTATTAAAAATATATGGGGGTGAGTTAGTCCCGGTTGGGGGCCCCGGTTGGGATCCCCGATTGGGCGCCCGGTTGGAAGCCCCAGTTGGGGGGCCCGGTTAGGGCCCCAGTTGGGGACCCGGTTGGGGGGCCGTTTGTGGGGCTCGGTTGGGGCCCCCGGTTGAGGGTCCCGATTTGGGGGCCCCGGTTTGGGGGCTCCGGTTTGGGGGACCCGTTTTGGGGCCCCGGTTTAGGGGCCCGGTTTGGCGGTCCCGGTTGGGGGCCCGTTTGTGGGGCTCGGTTGGGGGCCCCGGTTTGGGGGCAAAGGTGTGGGGGCCCTGGTTTAGGGGCCCCGGTTGAGGGCCCGGTTAGAGGCCAGTTAAGGGGCCTGATGGCACCGAACCAGGTCCCCCCGGTTTGGGGACAAAGGTGTGGGGGCCCTGGTTTGGGGGTCCCGGTTGGGGGCAATTAAATCAATTGCGACGCGTCGCAATTGATTTAATTGCAATTGATTTCAATTGAATTGATTTTTTAATCTGATTGAATTATTGATTGAAATTTAATTGATTAACGCCCAACACTGGTGCAAACCATATTGTCTTACATTATCGTGACCTTCAATGATAGATACTGTTAATTATTTCTCCTTTGAAAGAAGTCAATTACTGATTGACGAACTGAACGATGTTTTTGCTTAAGGATAAAACTGAACCCAAATAAAATATAAAAAAATAGCTCATAAGGGGTTTGTACATCTGGTTTCGCAGATATGTTAATAATTTGATACGCTGATGTGTGAGAGGAGCTACCTTATTACGTATTATAAGTACATATAGCGTATTTTTTATATTTTACACACACACACACACATCTGGCACATTCACATTTGGCATCCTCCGGATATTTCAACGGATTTGTCAAGATCTAGTCTATTTTATTTCCTCATTTCATTTTTCGGGCCCCCATAACAGATCTGGGGCCTTACCATGACCTGTTCAATTCAGTGTAGGTTCGTAACGATAGAAAAACGGGATGGTGATATGCACGTCTTGTAGCACTGTCTCACAACGATTCATTTTAGGTCCTATACTGAATCGTAATAAGAGTGACTTCATGGTAAGATCCATGATCATCACTTCAGTCCATCTCCATTTTGCTAGGTAGGATACTATTTTTTACACACACTGATTGTGGCCAAGCGTATGTCTATTGTATATTAAACACAAACACACGTACGGACGCATGCACGCAAGCGCACACGCACGCACACACACACGCACACGCACGCACACACACACACACGCGCGCGCGCGCGCGCGCGCGCACACACACACACACACACACACACACACACACACACACCGCACTAGAGAAAGCCTGTATCAACCACAAATTACACCCCAACTCACGAGAGATACAAATATACGCCTTATGAATATTCTTCCCGGCCCAGGAATGGAACGATAAGGAGATTAATGAAATGTATTTATTATTCTTATTCTAGGTAATGCCTGCAGTGGTAATCCGGCAACGGAAACCATTCAGAAGGAGGGACGGTGTGTTCATATACTTTGAAGACAACGCAGGCGTTATAGTGAACAACAAAGGAGAGATGAAAGGCTCCGCTATCACAGGGCCCGTGGCGAAGGAGTGCGCGGATCTTTGGCCGCGTATTGCGTCTAATGCCTCGTCTATAGCTTGAATATATAACGTTAAAAAGTAACCTGAGTTTTTTATTTTTTTACATTGCAATTTTAAAGGCAGAAACCACAGGACTATTTATACAGGGTTATTTTATTTACATAAAATACTGAAAATCTCGCAGGGTTATATTACTGACATCATAAACCACAACCATTGTTTATAACTTTTAATAATTTATCAGACTACGTAAAAAAATAAAAATATTTTAATTTGTCAGAATGGTTCACCATCATGATATTCAATTACTTTTTGTGAAATTACTCCACTAGTTTATTATCTTTATTAATACAAAGATCGAACACTCAGAAAAAAATCCTTCCTTAAAAAATCCTTATCCGAACCGACGTCTCGTTGGCAAAATTATCATTTCAGGTAATGATGGAGCCATAACAATAAAAAGTGAAGTAGGAGAGACTAATTTAATTCATCATCATCTTAAACCGCCTGACTTCACCCATTGTTGGGTATAGGCTTCACAAGTTTTTGTGTCATTCCCCACAATCCTGCGCTTGTTTCATTTGATTTTATTTGGGTATGTTGAATTAAAATGAAAAACTTTAAAATGTCTCCACCTTGTATTTTTAATACATGCATAGTTCTAAGTGTAGTGTATCTGTGTATGATCTTACATGAAGCTAGGCCTAATAGTTGGCCGGATATTTATTATGTGTCATATTTATTTACAGTTCAATATTATACATTTGGAAATGAAAAACATCATGTTATTTTATACTAGACAGCTAGACAATATCCCTATGGTTACGGACATTAGAATTTGAATTGACATGTCATAATGAAACAAGTGCGGTTACTTATTGCATAAGCGTTACCAATATTGTCGATAGTCTACTTATCGAATGCAATCACTAGTTGCTTGCAAGCGGGCCATTGACTTACATTTATTTGTAAGTCAATGAAGCGGGCAATACTTTTGTGCAGTGAACTGTCATTTTACTCCAAAGACAAGATTATAGTCTGTTCTTTTTGAAGAGGAGTCAAAGAATTTATCATTTTAATTCAATATACATAATCAAATACAGCCATTGTTGTTATAATGTATATACGAATAAAAAGGACCTCGATACTAGTAGGCCAATTGCAAGGCAATGTCGCAATTAGTAATCATTAAAGCGTAACATTTACAATTCAGTCATTTTTGGCAAAATGTTATCTTTTACAATCTATCGCTAAAACTATCGACAAGAACTACACAACTATTTAAAACTTTGTGAAAACTGGCAATCCTATAAATGCCATTTTAATGATTCTTCAAACCATAAACGCGGCTAAATATTGTATGAAAATTATTAGTCACGCGAGCAGTTTTGTTATGATGCCTTCCAATTGGACCCCTGTGGAAACGCTGCATTCGCGCGTCTGGCCGCGTCACGACGGATTAAAATGACATTTGTAGGGTTGCAGTGCCACAGACGCGCGACTGTGTTTCCACAAGGGTCTGATTGGAATGCATCATAACAAAGCTTCGCTCGCTTCGTTTCAACAAGAAAATGTGAACACTAAAGAGGGTAATAAATAAAACTGACCTTCGTAGTTAATAAGTTTATTTACTTACATAAGAAAGAGATTAAGAACTAATAATAATTATGTACTTGACACACAAACTCATGCGTTGTACATATATCTTAAAAGATTTAATAAAAATCAGTTTTATAAGCATATCACACGCTCCATAGATACGCTTTTATAGAATTTTGTTCTTTATTAGGGACAACAGTTGGCGAAAGTAATCGGCAATTATTTTCATAGAACACGTCGTAACTTGACCACTTAATGGTGGCACTTCACATTTCCAAAAATTGTTGATGTGAAATCTTTAAAAAAAAATTATATGTTACTGCTGCTGCGATCTGTAAGTATTTCTATTTTTTTTTCTTAAGTGGATAAGGCATGAAGTTACCGCAAGAAAAACATAGATATTTTTTTAATTTAGTTTCTTTACACTATTTTCACAGAAACAAACGCCCTTTCAACTAACGGCGGCAGTACTGTACGCTCCATTTATTGTGCCTCGGAATGGAAAGGAAGCGTATTTTTGTAACGAAATTGTACATATTATAGTATAATGATCTTTATGTCGATTGTGTAACGTACAAACTAGACACGATATCGCACTGTTAATACAATGGTGTATTAACTAAAAAAGTGTATTTTTCAAGAATCGACGAAAATGAATTAAACTTCCCTTGCAAGATCATTAACATTTATGTTATAGATCAAAGTTTATTACAGACGTCTAAACAATTTCCTACTTGCGAAATACATTTAAAAAATAAAAGGGAAATAATAATTTCATATACTGTTTTGTCCAGAACTAGGTCACCAACAGTTTGTCTCATTTTGAGTTATGTTAATATCTTTTGTTTCTCACAATATTCTAACAACGGTTATATTGTCTGGTACCACGGACTTGTATATTAAACTGGACCGCACGCTAAGTTAATAAAACGAGCCGAGTGAGAGGCATCAAAGCAGTAATGGGTCTCTTTAATAGGGTGTTCATTCATTTTTCAGCCAGCCATATTGTTTTTAACTTTTCAGTTTTTACAGAAAATGTGGTGGCTTATGGATGACCAAAACTATTAATATTCAATCATAATACAAATTAGTATACTTATTTGATATCCTCCTTCATAATAGAAGGTCTCATTGTTGATATATTTTTTTATTTTGTATTATTACAGTAAAAGCATATTACCTTTCAGAATATATATGTATATATCCAAAATTTTAAAAAGTTAATAGACTAGATACTACTTAAGAAGATTTTATGTAGCGTTGGCAACCTGTTGGACAAGGACAGACCACTACGTCGAGCAATCTCCCGTGACATGGTTTTTTACTTTTACTTAAAATAAGCCTTAACACAACCCAATAATTTGTAAATTTGTAATATTGGTATATCGAAATGAGCGATCCAATTTATAATGCATATAAATCCATGACTTGTACAGATTAAAATTTTACGTTCGGCAATGGTATAATCTTAAATTTCACATATTTTGAGTTACACTATTGTAATAGTAGTGCGAAATGGTAACTGCGGAATTTCCCAATCAGCGCCAAAATGTTTCCTTACGACTCGCGACCTGTTTTTCGACTCGCATCCAGTTTGTACGTTACTAGTGTTGGATCATGGAAAAATTTCCATTTTGAATATTTTTCCTTCAATATTCCACTTTCGACGTTGACATCTGTCAAAAGTTGAAGTTACTGAACGAAAACGATGGGGGCATTAAAAAGGTTTTTTCGCTGTTGTGAAATAATTATAAAACTCGTTTTTCTTTTTGTGGCTGTTAGCTAAACAAGTTTATTTTATAATACACGCGAAATAAAACTTCAAAAGATATTTCTAAACGTAGAACATGATATGAGCATTCGAATTTATTTTTTTCAAATTTTTCGGAAAATGACCCAACAGTTTACACGTTACAACATAAAATTCATTATGCGTTACAAAAATTCGGTTCCATTCCGTTTATTCCGTTTCGAGGCAATTTAATTTAAATTGAGCTTTAATGTTCTAGACAATACTTTGAAAAAATTAGTACATATGGAGCGTCCATAATGTCCACGTAGTCAAGAGTGAGTTCTATCGACGTTTCTTATGTCCTTTGGTGGGGCCTTTGACGAAGCACCAGTCCACGGATATCGCTTGACCCAAGATGTCGGCACCGTCGAGGGATTCGCGAGCGCTCTGCGAAAAAAAGGTTCCTATGTAGGTAAACCATACAAAAGAATTCATAAACGACACACACACGCGACTTTTAGCAGCAATGCAATCGCTACTGGGTCGAAACACAAAAGTGCGATGCGACCAGTGTTGGGCAAAATTTAATTGTTCTGGCAATTAAAGATTGACAATTAATTAATTGTCAATCGTCAAAAATAAAACAACGACAAACTTAATAGAATATCTTTAAAACATTTTCTAAGGTCTGGAGAATTATCACCCCTTTGTTTCTCTAAATCGATTAGAATCGAGAACTGTGTTGCATCAAACGAACATCACTAATCGCAAAATTTGACCAAAAACATGACGAAGCGGACCACGAAACTGAATGCATTATACGAAAGTATAGCTCGTTCATGGCCCACAAGTGTACCGCACCAAGTAAAAGCCGCAATGTATTACGAATCATGCGGCATACACTCGTTTGCATATTTGTTCTCTCGAATTTAATTAAAAATTAAAATAATTGATTTTGAAATAAATTATGCATATTTTGATTACCAAATCACGTAACTGTGAAAGAAAACGGCCCTGTTCATTCATAGCTATGGTGTTTTTGCAGTTCCTAATGACATAATTAGGCATTTTTCACGTTTCCGACTGATGTTTAATTATGGTAACGACCGGGCGGCGGTCTGGCCCTTAGCAGCGGCAACTAATTCCGGGTACACGGGTCTTTCACTTGCATTTTTCGCTTGCTTGCGTGACTCGCTTTGCGCATACGCAAAGATCTGTCACGTACGCGCAGGTAGGACTGTTCACGAGTCGCTCGCTTGCGCCGGCCGCTTTCTTTGCGTTGCGTGAGTTTGATATCTTTTCCATGCAAGTAACTAGGAACGTTTGCTCCCCAGCAGCTGGTTCGAGTGTCGAAAACCCAAACAAAGGCAAGGCGCCACGCATGCGCGCAAGTCTCTCCGCAACGTAAAGCGGTAGACTCGTGAACGCCTCTGCGCGGAAGGCAGATTTCTGCGCCGTGTACCCAGCCAACGCAAGCAAGCGAAAAACTCGTGAACCCGGTATAAGCGTTTATAACTTACATTGCGCACGCGAAGTTGGTACACTTACAGCATCTATTCAGATTATATGTCTGTGGTTGATAATAACGATGA